GGGGCACCCCTCCTCCTCCAGAGCACCCCCGCTGGGGTTTAATTCATCACCAACGTATCACACGGGGGCGTCCCGTCCGTCAAGACCGCACGACAGGGCTCACCTTGAGCAGCACACACACCCACACACAAAAAAGTTTTTAAACGTGTTTTCTTAAAGTGATGGCAACGTATGTGTTTCCTGAAAGCCTGCCTGAAAATTTTGAATCAAAAAGTCCACGGCCCACCCCCCTCACAACACTCAATCTCAGATGGGACGACCCATATACTGCAGCAGTGATCTACCTGACAGAAGGGTTGCCCCGGCGGCGCGGTGTGGCGCAGAGCTGCACAGCCCCGCCAAATTAATCAGCGTTAGCGTTCGCCGGTCGTGACGTGACCTGACTGCGGCTGGACATTCGGAAAGAGCGGGAGGGAAGGCCTCTGGCAGGGGCCGCCAGGCCAGGGTGGGGCCAGTCCATTCCAGGTCAGGCCGCGAGGAGCAGCAGCGCTGACGGCTCGGGGAGCGATAGGCGGCCCCTGCTTTGACACGGCCAGGAAGGAAGAAAGGTTTCGAAAGAGATGAAGGCAGAAATAAAAACGGCTGCCCGTCAGTCACCGTGATGGGATGGGCCGCCGACACGGGCCTAACGAAGGTGATGGCAGCCAGGGCGCGACAGTCGTTGACTCGAAAATCAAACACTCGGAGGAGCCGCAAATCCCCGTCTGGTACAAACCGTGTGGTGCGCGGATTGGCGCAGGGGAGGGGCGTGCTGAGCATGAGGGAGGAGGGAGGACGAGGCAGTGCGGTGTCTCTGCAGCAGGCTCGTCCCCAAGGCGCAGTGCTGGCGCTGGCCGTGACGTGGCGGCGCAGCCATAGGTCACAAGTGCAGCAGCAGCAGCCCACTCGCTCTCCCTCCTCCTCCTCCTCCTCCTGCCCTTCCCGCGCCAGGGGAAAGGGGTGGTTGAGGGAGGGCGCGAAGAGCAGGAGGGTTGGGGAGGGGGGGGGCGACTCCAGGGCGGGGTTCGCCGGAAGAAAAGGGCGTGGCCGCGTGGCCTGATTGACAGCGAGGAGCAGGCCTCGACTTCCTCCCGGGGCCGACCCGACCCGACCGCACATCTACATGGCGCCCCGCGGCCCGCCCCGCGGCCCGTCAGCGCCGGCGGGGCGCCCACTGGAGCCGACAGTCGTGGGGGGATGGGCCCTCGTGAGGGGAGGGGAGGTTTTCCATACTTTGCTTCTTGGGAGTTTTGTAGGGACCTGTCCTGGCAGGCTTTCCAGGCCAACTTTGAAACAGTTCCAGGTCTTTTCCCAAACATTTTGGGGGGAAAGAAAATTAAAGTTGGAACAACACACAAATAAAAAATGCCACTTATTAAACATGAGAAAGAATTGATCTTTTTCCGAATGTTTCCATGACCTACGGGCTATTTTCCTGAAGAATCTGTGACCATACTGTTTTTCTTTATTCTTTCTTCCAAGACTAAGTTTCCCAGGTTTGTTAGGAACCTGCCCACCCCACCACGCCCCGCACCCGGCCATGACCAAAGGGTGGGGCCGTGTGAGGCGTTCTCAGCCCCCTCGGACTCCAGGCCATGGCCTGGCCACGCCCAGACAAGACAGCTGAGAGGGCTTTCCCTCCACTCACGCCAGCACGGCCGGCACCTCACATACGCGGAGTGCTAGGGTCTGTGCAGGCCTAGCGGCACACCCAACATCTGAAACCTCCCAGCACACCACCAGGCACGGGGCGAGGGACAGTATTCCTTCCAAGGTGGACGGTAGACGGACGAGCCCAAGTGTATCGAACGGCTCGGCCGAAGAATGCGCAACCGGCCATCTATATTTTAAGAATAAGAAGCCTGATGCACGGCGCGTTGGTCGATGGGGCCTCACGGCCGATGATACAGTCCCGACAAACTCCAGGGCAAAGCGAAAACTCCAAAAATATATCGAAAAAATGAATGAATTTCTTAATTAATAAAAAGGGTGGTGGTGAAAATTGTGTGCATGTGGATTCTAATGATCTGAGCTCTTTGATAACTCTTGGATGACTGGGTCGATTGGGGAGAACCCCCATAGAAATTGTAGCACCTCTCTGGGGGCTGATTGATTGTGACATTAATAAAAAGTCAGTGACATCGATTTAACTTGTGTGTTCCAGGCGAAGGCCCTGCATGACAGTGTTGGAGTGGTGTGCCCGGGTCCGCCTCTGTGCCTGCCCCACCCCAACCCAACGCCCCCGAGGCCCCCGGGTCCCTAAGGGGGTGGTCTGTGGTGTAGGCCACGGGGGCACTTCAAAATGTCAACGGGCAACTGACCTGGTGATCTTCCACCGAAGCGGCGACAGCGACTGGCACTGGCATTTCACCTCGAGCTCAGGGGCAGCGGGCCAGGACCTCACCTCAGCTCACCACCACCACCTCCAGAACCCGAACCAGTGCGACCACGGAGTCACAGGGGACTGGTGCACCTGCAAGCCACAGAGTTTGGGAATAATTAGTACCTTCCGATGATAGCAGATGAAATGTAAGCTATCATAGAACTTGCGCAGACAATTAAGATATCTATTCCTTTTTAAATGAATCTTTGTTTCGTTGTGACCAGTTGACGGAAATGTGCAACTTTACATTTAACATATTGTTTCCTCATATTTATTTTTTTTAAACAGACAAACATAGTGATCCAAGATAAATTCAGTGTATTCTTTCCATCTAACTTGGAAAGAGAATAGGCATAAAAGTGTAAATGACAAACTAGCGCATTTGTTTATAAGTCCGAGACAGTCTCAGGTGAACTTCCTGTATATGAAAATTGTTCTAAATTCTTAAAAATAATGTGAACTTTGTATTTTACACTTCTTACATAGAATAAAATTGAACAGTCTTGTTCAGCATTTTAAAAGAATGTTTCACACTTAAAAGTGGATCACAACAAGTGTCATTATTTCTAAAAAACAAATTTGGAAGAACTCAAAAAAAACTCACCTTGAGATAAGAGTTTTAAAATATCATGTAATAGGACCTAGAGTTTGCTAGAGTTACATCGAAAAATGACTTAAGACTAAGTAACACGTCAAATATGTCAACAATGACAAAACACATAACCTATCATACAAGACTGCCGGCTCCAAGGTACAGTATTATCACAAAATTAAACGTACATGATCTGCAAGTAATAATTTTTTGGTCATTCCTAAACAGATTGCAACTTTCAATTGAGAAAGTGGCACACTACCCTTCAGTATTCGTCCCACTTTTCACAAAAATGACCTACCTTAACGTATGTGTTCCTACAGTTCCATTCGGTCTCTCTATCCAAGAGATTAAACTTCTACTGAGGCAAAAAATAAAAATAAACAAACACTAGTAAGATAATGTTTCAGTAAAACCGCAGATGAAAATTTGTCAAACTGCCTCAGCATTAAAAATCATGTAACCGATCCACTCAAAATTGGTTAAAAATCCTGATCCACATGATACCTGATCAAACCCATCCCATGTCATACATCAAGTGGTACCAACTGAATATTGGCAGTTTCAGTGTAGTGAAGGGAGATTTTCTTCTGGATCCCATCTGATTCTCTTAATGCCAAGAGGCACAAAATTTATGTAATTTTTAAACAAGAAATGATCGAATTGTCAGCCAAGGACAGTCTGGAAATTATGTTTCGGTAGTTGGGCATAGCCAACTTGAAATGAAATAGTCGGGGCTGAAGTTGTGAATGCTTACAGTTTATTTTCCATGCAATGGCAAGGAGGGCTAAAATAATTTCTGTCAACTGATAAATTAGGAACAGAAAAACTGTGTGTGTATCCAATGAAGTGTTTTATGATGTGAAAATAGGATGAAGAGAAGTACAAAAATATAATTCACAGACATTTTATTGCATGTCAATGACCTCAGACATAAAAAGACATAAAAAATCAATAATGGAACAAATGCACTATAGGCTCAGAGAACCATAGAATCATAATATCACAAAAGAAATTCAGATATGACCAGAAAACAAAAATAAATGAGTTGCCTCAATAGTAGAATGAAGGACTAGAGAGAAAGCAATCATCCACTAATGGTCAAGATACAAAGGCACAGGTGTAGTCAATAGGAATGCCAACATACAAGTAAATTTACTGCCCACCGCGCAAACGCAAGACAAGATGTAAAGTGGACTCCTTCTGGATATTGTAGTCAGACAAGGTGCGACCATCTTCAAGCTGCTTGCCAGCAAAGATCAAACGCTGCTGATCTGGGGGGATGCCTTCTTTGTCTTGGATTTTGGCCTTTACGTTCTCAATAGAATCAGAGGGTTCAACTTCCAGAGTAATGGTCTTGCCAGTGAGTGTCTTGACAAAGATCTGCATTCCACCACGCAGACGGAGGACAAGATGGAGGGTGGATTCCTTCTGAATATTGTAGTCAGACAAAGTACGGCCATCTTCAAGCTGCTTACCGGCAAAGATCAATCTCTGCTGGTCTGGGGGGATGCCCTCTTTATCCTGGATCTTAGCCTTGACGTTCTCGATGGAATCCGAGGGCTCAACCTCCAGAGTGATGGTCTTGCCTGTCAGGGTCTTCACGAAGATCTGCATACCACCACGCAGACGGAGAACAAGATGGAGGGT